TTTTTAAAGAAAGGGTGGCAGACAAACCCTGGATAGTTTTGAAAGCTGTACTGTACCGTCTCTCACTACAGCGCCTTACGGCTCCTTGCTACTAGGCAATGCGCCCACACCTCTACATGCTGTACAGTACAGTATAACTACGAAATTCTCCGGATCTGTTCTATGGGCCACCCTTGTTGATGGGTTCATGTCCTTACCGCGTTGTTCTGCTTGTCGTCGCGGCCGCTAAAGGCGTTTTCGATCGCCACGCACGCGGGTTGCGTGAGCAGGGCGCCGTCGGCGCAGAGGGTCTCCCCGGTCGCGCGCAGCTCCGGCGTGCTGGGCAGGATCCAATACACGCCCAGCGGGGCCGCGGCCAGCTGTTGCGACCGATTCAACGATCAAGAAAGATTTGTCCAACATTTCTGAGGAAGGCCAATAAAACATTGGGGCGAAGGACCCGCGGGCCCTTAACGAGCGACTGACCTTTAACACCGGGATGGACTCTAGCACGCCTCGCCAAGCCGCGGATCGGGCGTTGCTGTCCTCGGCGACCGGGGCGAATCCGGTGTACAGCTTGACGTGCTTAGCCACGTCGGGGCGTTCCGCGCCCATGATGAACATGCTGGTAGTGCCCATGGAGAAGCCCACGTACTGCACCTCTTGCTGGCCCGTCTCTTGCATCGCGTACTGGATCAGCGCCGGCAGGTCCTGCGTGCCGTGCTCGTCGTACCTGAGGTGCACAACGTACCGTCAGCATACACACTATTGCACTATTCGCACTCGGGCAGCCGACTACAATAATGCTCACGAAAAGTCCCAGAAGGCAGCCTCCTTGGTGCTGAGCGTCGTGTGGTTCAGCGAGTAGGTGTTTCCGCGCACGTTCTGCAGCCACACGTCGAAACCCTCATCGGCCAGCATGTAAGCTGTTCCGGATTGCGAAAAGTAGAGGAATCAATGAATGAAAATGTCTTTTCTCGTGTCATGGATTCGATACTGTCATTTATTGGGGTTTGCCGAGTGTTCACCTAGTGCCTTGCCGGGGCCCAGGACGAGATACTCGGCTGAGCTGGACAGCAGAGGGTGCCCCATGACGACGACGGGCTGCTTCGCACCCGGGGCCTCGCTCGCGGCCGTGGTGTTCCTGACGCGGTGGATGCCCAGGATGTAGCCGTCGTCCGTGGTCACATGATGCAGCTCCGCGTCGTAGCCCCAGTACCGCGAGAGCTCCACCTGCACATCAGCGGGCGTTTTAGTCGTAGACTCGACACCACTCGAGCTCCCCCCGGAACATATGTCGCCCTCTGGCCGCTCACCGGATCCAGGTCCAGCAGGGGGTCGAAGTCTCTGGACACCGCCGCTGCTCTGAGGCCGGGGAGAGGCGCCCCGACCAGGTCCACGATCCACTGCGGGTCCATCGCTGGGACGGTTTGGTCAGGTCCCAGAAGCGAGGCCAGCGCAGCGTCCAGCAACAGCGAGGCCAGCAAGGCCTTCACGGCGACCGCCATCTCGGCAGCGCAGCGGGTGGCACTGGCAGGCGCGAGGTAGGCCAAACGGCGCGTGGATGTGGGGCAGGCGGGCCTACCTGCTAGGCGATCGCAAGCGCGACCGACCTCTTGACACGGGGAATCCAAAGTGAACGAATGCCCTCCGCTGTGAGAATTTTGTCCTCTATAGACAATTCACGACACTCATGTCAAGTGGTTACGAGTTAATACCCACCGTTGTAGATGCGCGACTGATAGTTCACCCGTCTTCAAAGAGACGTGCTATCACTGCTTGCTTTCCTCGCGCGAAGTGTGCGAACACAGACATTCGCTGAGGTCGGTGACTGCTCTCGCACTCGCGCGAGCTGAACACTTTTATACTGTCTTTGAGATATTTGTTTTACATATCTCTCCCTTTCCCAAACAATCCACATCCTCTCTCACCTTCACGGCTGTCCCGGTCCACGGTCCGTGGTTGGCCGGCGAGGCCCTTGGTTACACGACACGCCGTACTTCGCCCGCCCGCTGTAAAGGACGGGGGCAGGAGGGGGGAGGGGGGAAGACGGCGACCGCGGACCGCGACAGCCCAGCTGCTGAGCCGTTAGTAACAGTGCGTGTGTTCGGGTGTTTATCTACAGGAACCACACTGTTTCGAAAGGGCGAGGTCGCCGACGACAATAATACAGTAAAAAACGATGACGCATAACACAATGTGAAATTGGAGGGCAAAGTGGCGTGAAATAACAGTTTCCAACTACTGTTAACTTTAAGAACGGATGTCCACATTTTTACAATAAATTCTGCGTCTTTCTTTTTACGGTGTACGTGGACCACCTGGCTGGCACACCAGGGGTGGCAACTGACAGTTATTTGCAGTGCCCCCTCGCGCCCCGCCCCCCTCTGCGGTGCAACCCAACCGCGTCTTTGGCTCGTCCGCAATACCGACTCCTCGCTGCCGCTGGAAGACCTCCAATAGTCAATGTTTGTTTACGCCTTCAAAGGACTGTCTCCGTGTGTGAACTTTTGCGAAGTCTAGGACCAGCAGCGAGGGGGCCAAGGAGGTGGAATTGGGAAAGTGAGTAGAAAGGCGGCGGCGCCGAGTTGACTTTCCGCTTTGCACCGCATCGTTCTCTCACTGGCGCACTGCAGCTGCAGGTACGATAGTGTCCCGCAATTGCAATGCCCCTGTGCCGTCACATATATACATACCGGGTGGCTGATTCACGCCATGCACTTTCATGGTTACACTGTACCACATTCACGCTTCCTTGCGGGTTGCCTACTCGCACGGGGCCATAGGAGCCGTAGGCAGCGAGCATAGGCAAACCCGCGCGCACCCGTGCATGCGGTACATAATAACTACGAAAGTGCGCGGCGTAAATCCCCCACCTGGTGTGTACAAATTTTAATGTACAATTTACACGATTTGCTCGTCGAAGAGAACAAATTTCGATTCAAAATGTCTACTTTTTGTAAAATTTTACAATTTTACTATTCGTCATTTTACAATTTAAATTGGAAATTTCACTATTTGTTTTTGATATTTTACAATCAGAGTTATCAATTATACAATTACATTTACAGTTTGTCGCTTTACACCATTCATCATAGAAAATTTTCGCGCACAACCCTTCCGAACATATTTTTTCGCTGTTTGGGTTCCGGTTGGTGTCATGATATCTTGCCGCCGCCACCGTGAGGGTGAGGAGTCCCCGAGGCCGAGCGCTCAAATGCGCCCCGTATTGCTCCAAAAAATAGATAATTACGGCGAGCGCCCCGCCGGTGGCGCCTGGCCTGCCTCAAGGCCCGCCTTTTGCACCCCGGCGCCAATTACCTGCTGCTGCCTGTACGCCACACTCCGCGGGCTCTCTGGCGAGCTATCCGGCGAGCTCTCTGGCACCGCCCCGCCCCGCCCCGGCGGAAGTAGCACCACCGCACCGCGCACCCGATACGGATCACGCGGTAATTAGACTCCCGTTGAGGAGCCCGGGTTAG